CTCTTGTTTTTTTGGGAGGTTTTTGATTACAGTTTCAATTTCGTTACTGGCTATTGGTCTTTTCAGATTGTCTGTTTCTTCCTGTTTCAGTCTTGGCAGGTTGTAAGTGTCCAGGAATACATCCATTTCTTCCAGATTGCCTAGTTTGTTGTCATATAGCTGTTGGTAATAAGTTCTAATAATTGCCTCTATTTCTTTGGTATTGGTCGTGATTTTTCCCCTTTCATTCATGATTTTATTAATTTGGGTCCTTTCTCTTTTCTTTTGGATAAGTCTAGCCAGAGGTTTATCGATCTTATTAATTCTTTCAAGGAACCAGCTTCTAGTTTCGTTGATCTGTTCTACTGTTTTTCTGGTTTCTATTTCATTGATTTCTGCCCTAATCTTTATTATTTCTCCTCTCCTGCTTGGTTTAGGCTTTATTGTCTGTTCTTTCTCCAGATGCTTTAGGTGTAAGGTTAGCTTGTGCATTTGGAATTTTTCTAATTTTTTGAGAGAGGCTTGGATGGCTATGTACTTTCCTCTTAGAACCGCCTTTGCAGGATCCCATGGATTTTCAACTGATGTCATTTCATTTTCATTGGTTTGCATGAAATGTTTAAGTTCCTCTTTAATTTCCTGGTTGACCCATTCATTCTTCAGCAGGATGCTTTTTAACCTCCAAGTGTTTGCGTTCCTTCCACATTTTTCCTTGTGGTTGAGTTGCAGTTTCAAAGCATTTTGGTCTGAAAATATGCAGGGAATCATCTCAGTCTTTTGTTATCTGTTGAGACCTGATTTGTAACCCAGCATGTGGTCTATTCTGGAGAAAGTTCTGTGTGCACTGGAGAAGAATAAGTATTCTGTTGTTTTAGGGTGGAATGTTCTGTATATATCTATGAAGTCCATCTGGTCCAATATGTCCTTCAAAGCTCTTGTTTCTTTGTTGATCTGCTTAGATGATCTATCTATTGCTGTGAGTTGAGTGTTAAGGTCTTCTACTATTAATGTATTATTATCAATATGATTCTTTAATTTTGTTTAAAAGTTGGCTTATGTAGTTGGCTGCTCCCACATGGGGGGCATATATATTTACATTTGTTAGATGTTCTCGTTTGATAGACCCTTTAAGTATGATATAGTGTCCCTCTACATCTCTTACTACAGTCTTGGTTTAAAATCTAATTTGTCAGATATGAGGATTGCTACCCAGCTTTCTTTTGACGTCCGTTGGCATGATAAATGGTTCTCCATTCCCTCACTTTCAATCTGAAAGGTCTTTGGGTTCAAAATGAGTCTCTTGTAGACAGCATATGGATTGGTCCTGTCTTTTTTATCCAATCTGCAACCCTGTGCCATTTCATGGGAGCATTTAGGTCTTTTATGTTGAGAGTAACTTTTGAAGGATATGAATTTAGTGCCATCATCATATTGCTTGTAAACTCTCTGTTTGTATAGATTGTCTCTGTAAATTTCTGGTCTATATTACTTTTGTGGTCTTTCTTTTATAGAATCCCCCTTAATATTTCTTGCAGGGCTGGCTTGGTGGTCACACATTCTTTAAGTTTCTCCCGGTCCTGGAAGATCTTTATCTCTCCATCCATTCTGAATGACAGCCTTGCTGGATAAAGTATTCTTGGCTCTGTGTTCTTCTCATTTAGTACCCTGAATATGTCTTACCAGCTCTTTCTGGCTTGCTTGGTCTCTGTGGACAGGTCTGATGTTATTCTGATGTTCCTCCCTCCATATGTAAGAGATCTCTTCCCCCTAGATGCTCTCAGGATAGCTTCCTTATCTCTATGATTTGCAAGTTTCACTATTATATGCTGGGATGTTGGTCCATTTTTATTGACATTTGGAGGGATCCTCTCTGCCTCTTGGACATGAATGCTTGTTTCCTTCCCCAGATTAGGGACGTTCGCGGCTATAATAGCATGATATTAATGGCCACATGTATAGCCATGTATATATAAAGCCATCCTTCTTTTTAACCATGAAAGATGAAAGAGTGAGTCATTCAAGTATCTTGGAAAGAGTGTTTTAGTACAGAAGGCTCTGAGGTGAGAGTGACCTCTGTGTGTTGAGGAGGAAGAGGCCAGTAGGTGAGACTGCCTTCAGGGAGAGCAGGAAGAGGTGACAGGAATGGCGGTGGGGGCTGGGGGGGTTCTTGAATTGTGGTGAGGAGTTGGGTTTTGCTCTGAGGGTGATGGAAAGCCATGGAAGGCTGGAGTAGAGTTTGAAATTAGTCTTCCAGTTGGGTTGCTTGTATGGGGTAGAAGAAACACTGGCTGGAGGCAAGGATTCAAAATCAGAGGAGTTATTTCCCTGGGTGTTGGTTTGATCTCCATGTGGATGTCAGAATCCCTGAGAGGAGTAAGGTTGGAAAACACAGTGGTTGAGTCAGGAGGCAAGGTCAGGGGGATCAGGAATGACAAGAAGTTAGTGGACGGCAGAAAGGGGAAGGATGACATGTGGTCTAGCCAGTGGCAGGACTTACAAAGATGCTGATGGTTTTGAAGGAGAATAAGTCATTTGAAAGTGCTCAGGGGATCAGAGAAGTCATTCACTCCCTTCTTACCCCTAATATATATGGGATTTGATGCCCAATATCTCCATGTAGACTGAGGGGCAGCAAGTTACTGTCCATGCGAACAGGGGAGGTTCTCTTCAGAGAGGTTGAGGCAGGGAGTCTCAAGCTGGGGGGCATTTGGCAATGTCTGGAGACACCTAGGCTCTTAGAATTGGAAGTGCAGGCATCTAGTGTGTAATGGCCAGTGATGCTGCTAACATCCTACCGTGCACAGGACCCACAGAATTATCCATCCCAAGGCATCACTGGAGTCGTGGTTAGGAAGCCCTGGATGAAGGATTGAGGGGTATATGTTCGTCATAGAGCTGAAGTTCCAGGGGGCTTGTACTTTCCTCTCTTCCACATTATTCCATAACCCTTTCTGACAATTTTTGGCCTGATGTACACATACACATTTACTTGCTCACACTCAATACTCTCACATATGGAAGATCCTGTCTCCCTTTCTGTCCTACACAATTTCTGAGTTATAGGAAAGTAGTACTTAGTTTTCTGGCTGTTTTCAGTCATAAGATGTGTCAAATGGGTATACTGTAACAATAATTCATCATATGACAATTGAGGGATGTGGTTTCTTTGGTGTTTGGTTCCAGCTAGATGAAGGGAAACTTAAGTTCTATAGAAGAAAAATACTGGGAGACCAAAGAATGTTGTCTAGTGACCTAAAAGAATGAAGAAAATAAAAAGGCCTCTTTTGTTCTGCTTTGTTATCCCACATATCAGAGGTAGATTTTGAAATGAGTTCTGTTGTAAAAACAAAAATAGGAAGAGGCACAAAAATTGCATGAATAGTATCCTTACAGACATTTATACATTTGAAATTTAGTTGTTCTAACTGAAATACAGACCCGGGCCTGGTTTTGCAGAACCCCAAGCTAAGAATGCTTTTTACATTGTGAAAGCGATTCGAAACAAAAATGAAGAAGACTATGCAACAGAGACCTTACATGGCCCTCAAAGCCTAAAATATTTACTGTTTGGCCCTTTATAGAAGAAGCTTGCTGATCTCTGGTATAGATGTATCTCCTTTCTAGTTCTGACCATGATATGAATGAGTCTTTGTCACAGAATCATAACATTGCATTTATTCAGAAATCCTAAAAAATATTTATTGATACTTCTTATGTATGAGAGGCCACATTTGCAGGATATATGCTGGCTGTCAGAGAGTTTATTTTAGTAAGAGGTGTAGATATATTTTTTTAAAGATTTTATTTTGAGAGAGAGAGAGAGAGAGCGTGAATGGGGGGAGGGGCAGAGGGAGAGGGAGAAGCAGGCTCCCCGCTGAGCAAGGAGCCCAGTAGGACATGGGGCTCAATCCCAGGACCTTGGGATCATGACCTGAGCCGAAGGCAGACTCTTAACTGACTAAGCCACCCAGGGGCCCCAAGAGGTGTAGATATTAAACATATAAGTATACACATGATTAATTAAAATCACTAATTACACAAAGTACTAAGAAGGGTGTCAAAAGGGTATGGAAGGGGGTCACTGGAGTCTTTTCTGGATAAGTGATTTTAATCTAAATTTGAAGAATGAAGGAGGGGCAGGAGGAGGTCCAGAACTGAGGGAGTAGTTGTGGCCCTGAAAGAAACCCTGGCGATTTTCCATTTCTTCTACCAGAGTTGACTAATGGAGAACTCAGCTAAATCAATTTCTAAAGGATAATAAATTAGAGAGCAAATAGTATCAGAAATGAATTAGGGACTTCTGGTCATTATGTTGTCCCAGATGAATCTAAGGTATAGCTAGGATTGAGAACCATGACACTAGGTGGACCCAGGCCCTCTGGGGTCCTCAGCTGGTAGCCTCCTCTTGTGCATCTCTTTTCCTGTCTCTTTTAGGGAAATAAAAACTGAAGTTTGCACCTACCCTAGAGCTATGGTTCTGAGGAGTATGTGAGAAAATTTTGAGCCTGTCATGTTCCTCTTCAGGGTGATGAATTGGCTAGCCAACTCTTTCCTCGGGGGTTAGGGCCTTTGCCTGCCTCCTGTCTCCTCATTCCCTGCCCCTCCCCGTTGCCATGCCACAGACTGAATATCAGTCACTGACATTTCTTAGCCCACTTGGTGGTTGGTAACTGCTCCCTTAGAGAGCCATCAGCAGGGTAAACAAAGAGAGGAAGAAGGGCTACCAATGAAATCCAAAAGGTTGGGTGCTTCTTCAGGTGGAAAATGTATAGTCCATCCCGTGATCATCCTCTTTTGGGGCAGGAAATGTTTTGGGGGATGGGAGAGCAAACCAGAGCTGCCTTTTCCCATGTGGAAACTCAGGCCTCAGACTGCAGATTTTCTCTGTGATTGAGAAGCACCTCAGTAGCCTTGGCAACAGTGATGCTCACGGGTTGTGTTTTCCAGGCCTTGCTCCTCTGGGAGGGTTCTGAGCCAGGTGACTTGCCGATGCTCCTTCCTAATGACTGTTTCATCTGCAGGGCGAACTCTTTTGGAGAAGCTATTCAGCCAGCAGGAGAACGGGCCTCCGGAAGAAGCAGAGAAGTTTTGCTCCCGGATCATTGCCATGGGTCTTCTACTTCCTTTCAGTGACTGCTTCAGGGAACCGTGTGATCGAAATGCCCAATCAAGTTCAGCTCCGTTTGATGTAAGTAGGAACATTGACTTCAGTCTGTGAGGAAGATTGCAGTCGAAATAGCAGCTGTGATAGGTGTCTGCCCAATCACCCTACAATTGAAAAACCAACATGTGATGCAAGCTGCCATCCTCCCCTCAGCCACTCAGCAACTCAGCATGTCTGTTTCTATGCATTCCTTCTTGACTAGAGCAATCTGAAGTATATTGGCCAAACCTCTTTTTCTTAACAGATGGCCACTTTTGACAGTTTTCTAGCCTGCTTTAATCAGTGATGATTTTAAAGTGGCTCGAGTCAGGACTACTGACTTTGCTGGTCGAGGACATTACTTCAGAAGCAGTACCATAGGGCCAGAACTTTGTTCCCAGTGGGCCGCAGGTTTCCGTGGATGCCTAGAACACTATTTCAGTGCGTTCTTAGCTCATCTGTGTAGTAACCATTGGTATGAAGCAGCATTGTCCGCTTTCTCCCCAGCTCCCATTCACCAAGAGAATTAATACTGCAGAACAGTAATCCAAAAGGCATATTCGTAATTCCTAATGAATATCAGGACAGCTGGATTATCGTTTTCAAGCCAGGGTATTGCTAATCTTTCTCAGGTATGTGGTACATGTGTGACATGGTAGTTGTGTTGAGTATGCATCTAAAACCCAGATATATCAGAATTCTCCTATATGATTTTCTCGTAAGAAAATTGAAGGTCTAATTGGCTCACTTGGGTGGAGCCCAGATATTTGTGAGGCAGAGTAATGGCTTCTCATCCATATGGGTTAGTTACAGTTCTTCCAACTGTATATACCCTTCTGTGCCTTCAGTGTATATGCTATTGACCAATGAGTGAGATAATGGTGAGTTTTGAAAGACAATGAAAATGAACCCTGACTGAGATCAAGACGTGAGAGTAAATAATAAAATGTCTATATGTCCTGTATTTCTTCTTTCTCTTCTTCATGCATTATAACCTATGTTCTTCCTTGATTCTCCCTTCAGTATTAAGAAAATTAATCACATAAAATATTGTGAGATCTTCTTGATACTTCCCATGTGAAAGAAGATTCCTCAGGATGTGCTGTGACTTACAAAAGTTCCTTCTTAAGATCTTTTTATTTATTCAATTATTTTTTAAATGACATTATAGCTAATTACTGCTAGGTAGATCTTTTTTCCTATAGGAAGAATTGGATAATTTAAATTCCCCACCCCTTTTTTTTTGGTGAGAGGTGTGTGTTATTATAGAGACAGAATCTGGGGACTGTGGTGGGCTTAAAGTCTTGTAGAGCTGTGTTCTAGAAAATATATCAATTTACGAGTTGGATTTAAAATCAACATGGTACAGAGAAAGGCAAACCCTAGCCATGTCTAAAACTTGCCTTTTGATTGAAACTATTCCCAAGCTGACTGCATTTTCTTCTCTTAAAGTTTAGAAGTACACAATCTTATCATTCAAAAAATGTGAAATTGGAATAAACTGAAAAGAATAGGGTAATTCTCTACCTTCTTCTTTTTTTTTTTAATCACTGAACTGGCTGCTTTTTATCTCCCACCTCCTCTCCATCCTTGTGTTAGAGAGTAGTAATTCCTCCCATCATTGTCTATTTGGAGGACAGTTGAGTGTGGCATGCAGAGGGAAAAGCAAACAAAAAATACAATCACTTAATATGGTTGGGAGTAATTTCCTTATAATGGGGAATTTGTTTCCCCCAACTTTATGTGATTGCACTTTCTCCTTACTTTATTTGTTGGCTCTGTAATACATCTCTACCCCCCCTGCCAAACTAAACCCCAAACAAATATGAAATTAAAGGCACTCTAGTAAGAAATGTTATGCCATATACTTAAACAGCGGATCAGTCACAGAACTGTGCATTTGCTATATGCACAGTCAAGGATTTTCTTCAAAACTCAGGAGAGGTGGCAATACAAGGAGTTATGTAGACTGAGATATTAGTGGAGGAATGGGGAGAAATGCACCTATCCGTGTGGAGAAAATTTTCTGATAATTAGTCTCTCTGCTGATTTCCAGAAAATTGCTGTTGGGAGGATTTCTAACCAACAATTCTCTTGAGGACAGTTGCCTTCGAGACATAGCACCATGTGGGAATAAACTCATAACTGGCACTCTTCCCACCCCCAACTTTGTTCCCTTCCCTAAGGAAAGGAAGGATGAAGGATGGGAGGTCTGAGGGAAGGTCATTCCAGGAAGCTCAGCTGGCAAGTACAAAGGGTCTGGGGGGAGCATAGGCAGGACCTAAGCAAAGCACAGTCTGAGTGCCTGTGAAGCTGAAATTTCATGAGTTGAGGGCAGAAAGGACTTGGGGTCGGAACGTGCAGGGTCTTGAAAGCCATGGAAGGAAAACTCTTTTTTTTTTTTTTTAAATTAGGAGCTTTTGGAAGATTTTGTGCAGGGGAAGAATGTATTTTACATGGATCACTCAGCCTGGTCTCTGGATAATGGAGTAGAGGGGGCAGAAGTAGACACAGGAACACCAGCTGGGCTATTGCAGTCCTTGAGTCAGGGATCGTGGCAGTAGCTTGGGGCAGGGTGGTGGTGAGGGAGTTAGAGAAGAGTCCTTAGGTATGGGATGGATTCTGGAGGCAGAGCTGATGGGACTTCTGGTGGGTTAGACATGGGGGCAATGGAAAAAGGAAGTCAACTATAACTTCTTGGTTTTTTATTGTAAGGAGCTGGGTGGAGGGTTGTGCCATTTATTGAGATGAAGAAGACAGGTCCGTTTTAGGAGGAAAATGTTGTAAGGACAGAACTAGTGCTTGTTATATACTTTGCTTGAATAAAATTGTTAATTTAGAAGGCTAATACTGAGCATGTAAGCAGACAAACATGTTTTGCTTTTTGCTGGTGGAATGATGTTGACTTTACAGCCAATCAAAGTTAGGGCCATGATACTTAAAGATATTTCAGCCATCAGAAGGGCTGGTAGCCCTTTGCATAGCCATGTCTTCATAACAGAAAGGAAGACTGAGCTCCTTTAAGGGCCTAATGGCATTGTCCATTACCTTTTTCTATTTCCATTACTAATCTGGAGACCCAGAAGCTATCACCTTACTTCTTATTCTCTGAGAGTATCCTCACATTTGCCTTTTGCTTTTTTTTTTGTTTCTTTTTGTTTTGTATCTCAGAATTCTAAGCTAGATCATCTCTCTTTTTTTTTTTAAGATTTTATTTATTTATTTGATAGATAGAAAGAGAGAACAAACCGTGAAGAGGGGCGGGAGAGAGAGAGAGAAGCCGATTCCCTGCTGAGCAGGAAGCCCAATGTGGGGCTCAATCCTGGGACCCCGGGATCGTGACCTGAGCCGAAGGCAGATGCTTAACCAACTGAGCCACCCAGGCGCCCCTGAGCTAGATAATTTCTAACAAGAGAAAACACATGCATAATACAACTGCTTAGTAGATTGTCTTGTTTAATTGTAGGTCTTGGCATTTTTTTTGTGGTGAGGAAAGACTTTTTTCTTTGTGGAGTGTTCTAGTGATTTCTCAAGTGAGAAAAAATATCTCTCCTGAAAATGTTTACTGTAGATCCTTAGGAATAGCAAAACCTTCACTATTATGACACACATTATTATGACACACACAGTTGACCCTTGAACAACATGGGGATTAGGGATGCCAACCCCCTACACAGTCAAAAATCCACATATAACTTTTGACTTCTCCCAAATTTAACTACTAATGGCCTACTGTTGATTGGAAGCCCTACCAATAACATAACAGTTGATTAACACGTTTTGTTAAATGTATTACGTACTGTATTCTTATGATAAAATAAGGTAGAGAAAAGGAAATGTTATTAAGAAAATCATAAGGAAGGAAAATACATTTACTGTACTATAAAAAATCCACATATAAGTGAACCTACCTAGTTCAAACCTTAGTTGTTCAAGAATCAACTGTAATTTGCAGTTTTGGGTCACTGCCCTGCTACCTGTGGACGAAATATTCCCGTCCTCAGCTTATGGCTGACCACAGGCTCATTGCCTGTTAGGTATAGATGGAGGTCATTTGGCAAGAGTAGGTCCAGTAATAGAGTCCCTTAAGATTCCTTTTCTTGGGGCGCCTGGGTGGCTCAGTTGGTTAAGCAGCTGCCTTTGGCTCAGGTCATGATCCCGGGGTCCTGGGATCGAGCCCTGCATTGGGCTCCTTGCTCAGCGGAGGGCCTGCTTCTCTCTCTCCCTCTGCCTGCCTCTCTGCCTACTTGTGCTCTCTCTCTGTTAAATAAAAAAATAAAATCTTTAAAAAAAAAAAAGATTCCTTTTCTTTTACTTTTTTTTTTTTTTTTAAGATTTTTTACTTATTTGAGGACGCCTGGGTGGCTCAGTCTGTTAAGCGTCTGCCTTGAGCTCAGGTCATGATCCCAGGGTCCTAGGATCGAGTCCCGATTTGGGCTCCCTGCTCAGCGGGGAGCCTGCTTCTCCCTCTGCTCTCCTCCTTGCTCGTGCTGTCTCTCATGCTCTCTCTCCCAAATAAATAAATAAAAATATTTTTTTTTGAAAGATTTCATTTATTTATTTGACAGACCGAGAGAGACAGTGAGAGAGGGAACACAAGCAGGGGGAGTGGGAGTACTTTTATTAGAGGGGGAATACTTTTATTCATATTAGATTTTTCTGAGTCGTATTCATCAGCGGCTGTTTTCTAGCAAATTACAGTTATCTCACATAATTGTTGATTATCCATTAGCAAGCTCTTTTAGGAGGATTTTTTCAATCATCACTGTGTCAGATATCACAGTGTCTCTTTACAACACAAAAAATAAAGCCCAAAGATTTTGGCTGGAGTAGATGATTATACCTACTTAATCCTTTAGAATTGATTTTATTTATTTATTTGTTTGTTTATTTGTTTATTTTTAAAGATTTATGTATTTGAGAGAGTGAGAAAGAGAGAGCATGGGGGGGAGGGGCATTCGGAGAGAGAGAGTCTCAAGCTGACTCTGTGCTAAGTGCAGACCCCCATGCGGGACTCGATCCACAACCCCGAGATCACAACCTGA